GTAACCCGGTTTCTAGCGTTGTAGATCCGCAGATATACCGCTGTGCCATTGTGGGGGGGGGGCGTTTTTTATACAGATTAAAAAGCATTGTTGCATTCGTTAGGTAACCTCACTGTAACGATATTATTGGCCATAAATCCAATAATATTTCACGAGATTCGGCCAGCTTAGGAGATCTGGGTTAGTCCTAAATTCATATACTAAACTAACAATGTAAAATAATCTTTTATAATAAAATAATAATAATAAGAAGAAGAAGAACAAAAAATAAAATTCACACAATAGCTATAATATTTCTTATTTAGAAATGAGGAGAGTAAAATTATTTATATATTTTTTGGGGGTGGAGTGGTAATTCCATTTACCTGGTCGTTTTTATTCTATTCCTTTGTAAAATCCAGACTTTATACACAAATCTTCCACAACGTTTGTCGTTAGTTTCTGTAAATATTATGTACGTATATATATATATATTATAGCCAATAACTGTAATTTAGATAAAATGTTATGTAAATGTATATTGTAACCAATAAATCGTAAGACGGAACGTTATACAAGTGTGTATCCAGCCAACAAACCCCAGAAGTGCCCTTTTACTCAGTCATAAAAAACGTTCACAACCAGAGGCAACCTCATAATCTCTCCTAAACCCCCGAAAAAAAAAAAGGCATATCTTCCATTCAATGCTTGAAAAGTGTATTTTCTGTCACTGGGTCCCCTGCCCTTGCAACTTGCGGGTCGCGAATTTGAATCCCTTTACTGAACATGGTCACCCTTTCAGCCGTAAGGACGTTATAATGTGATAGTCAATCACACTTTTCGTTGGTAAAATGGTAGCCCAAGAGTTGGCGGTGGGTGGTGTTGACTAGCTACCTTTCCTCTAGTCTATCACAGTTAAATCAAGGATAGCCAGCGCAGATAGTCGTCGGGTAGCTTTGCACGAAATTCCAAAACGAACAAACAAATGGTTTTGGCACAATAATACTAAATAACAAACAACAGATAATTTATGAAACGTTATTTACGTTGATGATACTCAACGAATAACAAACTTTTGGCTGAATTTCACTTGATTTTAATTCATACTGTTGTAATACGAATTAGGTTTAGTGTGGGTGAAAAAAAAAAGATTTGAAAATTACGATTTTCAATTCTAAGGACCCTGAGATTTGTTCTATAAAGTTGTTACAATATTCTGTGATTAAAAAGAGAAAATTATCTCTGAAGGTATAAAAAAAAACAACAACACAAAACAAATCCATTCATAAGAAACAGCTTCTGACAATTTTACAGGTTTAGGCCATTTTTGTCATAAAGGGGGCCCGGCATGGCCAAGGTGGTTAGGGTGTTCGTCTCTCAATCTGCGGAATCACCGTCCCACCAAACATGCCCGCCCTTTCAGCCGTGGGGGCGTTATAATGTGACGGCCAATCCCACTATTCGTTGGTAAAATGGTAGCCCAAGAGTTGGCGGTGGGTGGTCATGACTAGCTGCCTTCCCTCTAGTCTTTCACTGCTAAATTAGTGACGGCTAGAGCAGATAGCCCTCGCGTAGCTTTGCAAGAAATTCAAACCAAACCAAATCCTGGCGACCAGAAGGATGGCTTATCCGCAAGACACCAGAACTTGCATAGTTCAGCTTACGTAATATCTTAAGTACAATGCTCCCCTTAACCCCCATCTTTGACATGAAGACATCCGTTCCTGGGGTGTATCTATAAGTAGTTAGGAATGTCGTTCAAATCATAGTCAAACTTAACTGTTATAACGTTGGTTATGATCCTAAACGTTTTGTTTATCGTCATTCCATACCGATCATTATAAACACTCACATCTATCATTACAGTTTCGTGACTAGGAGTGTTTCATTAATCTAAACTTTAGACATTTGAAAATATTAAATAACGACAAACCGTTGTGGTTATTCTCTAAGCAAACAAACAAAGAAAAAATTTCCAAATAGTTAAAAACGTTTTTTTTCCTTCTGTTTATGTGGTTATCCTCTAAGAAAACAAACAAAAAAATTCCAAATATTTAAAAAACGTTTTTTTTCAGTTTATGTGGTTATCCTCTAAGGTTCTAAACAAATAAACAAACAAAAACTTTCCAAATAGTTAAAAAAGTGTTGTTTTTTTCTGTTTATGTGGTTATCTTCTAAGCAACCAAACAAACAAAAAATTTCCAAATAGTTAAAAAACGTTTTTTTCTTCTGTTTATGTGGTTATCCTCTAAGCAAACAAACAAACAACAAATTTTCAAATAGTTAAAAAGCGTTTTTTTTTTTCAAACCGTTGTGGTTATCTCCTAAGCAAACCAACAAACAAACAAATAAAAAATTTCCAAATAGTTAAAAACGTTTTTTTTCCTGCTTATTTTTTATCTTCCGAAAAAAAAAGTATTCTTCAATTATGAGAGTGCCATCAAAGTTCATCTACTTGAGGTAATTTTAGAATTAAGTTTCAAAGGTTTACATTAACAGGTGAGCTGATTCGTAACTACACTTTAAACAAAGCTTTGCTCATCCCTTCTATTTAAAGATTCTTAATTCATAAAGTAAAAAAAATAATGGAACACATCGATAATTCTAGGGTTATAAACAAGCCTTTATAATATTTCAACTAAAGGTTTGGTTTGAATTGCGCGCAAAGCTACTCCAGAGCTATCCGCGCTAGCCGTTCCTAATTTAGCAGTGATAGACAAGAGTGAAGGTAGCTAGTCAACACCACCCACCGCCAACTCTTGAGCTACTCTTTTACCAACGAATAGTGGGAGTGACCATCACATTATAACGCCACTACGGCTGAAAGAGCGAGAATGTTCGGTGGGACGGGAACTCGAACCCGCGACCCGAAGATTGCGAGTCGAGCGCCCTAACCAGACCGTCTTCAACTCAAATCACGTAAGCTTGTGGTTCAAGGATAAGCTAATGTTCGAGGTTTGATCCCTGTATGTATTGACCATAGGACAGGTAGCCCATTAAGAATCTTTACGTTTAAACAAACATGTTCTCCCGAACATAAGATACGTATAGTACATTCTAACTGTTGTTTAAAATGCTGTGGGTTACGTATCATTTGCATAGCACGCCCACCCTCAATTCAACCTTACTTGGGAGTATCACACACACACACACACACACACAACAGACGCAGAAACAAAAATACTTATACTAGACACACTTTGGTTTACGAAAGACAATCCCATAGATTTGACATGATTACAGAGCTTTCTCGTTGCATTGAGAACAAGTTAAAAGCTCTTAAAGATGCAGAATGTGACAGCGGTATATCTGTTTTTGAAAAAAAACCCCATTCTGACAACCGATTCATCAGGTGGACAGACGGAACCGGCGCCACCAACCTACTGATCATGCGGTTCCCAAACAGGCTTTAGACTAAAGTCGGTCTCAACAGACCAATACACCAAGAGAATACTACAAATCACGGTTTATTTGTTGAGACTGTAACAATCACACGCTGACACCTTCGAACTCACGTGAGTAGTTAAGAGAAGGACTACTACTGTCATTTGTGATGTCCAGAAGAAACCCCCAATGTTGTCAGTTTCAAGTGCCACATTATTATCACCGGCCACTTCTCTTGAACTGACCGAATGTAATCACTGCAAATTTGGTTTGTTTTACGAGTGGTCAACAGTGTTTATTTTCACCTAATGTGTGTAACAGTGGTACGAAGTCAGTCGCATTATGCTGATACTTGGCTTACTGGTCAATCCCACTATTCGTTGGTAAAAGAGTAGCCCAAGAGTTGGCGGTGGGTGGTGATGACTAGCTGCCTTCCCTCTAGTCTTACACTGCTAAATTAGGGACGGCTAGCGCAGATAGCCCTCGTGTAGCTTTGCGCGAAATTAAAAAAAACAAACGAACAACTTTCTACCCTCTGAAAGTTACAATTAGGCTTACGTTGCCGAAAACTGTTTTTAAGCATTTATCTCAATACTTAATGATTTCGCGGTTAACTGTTTCGTAGTTTAGTTAAAACGTTTCAGGATCTACTGGCCTATTCAACAATAAAAGCCAACACAGGTTTTAATATTTTAATATCAGGTGAAACAAGTGAAATTATCAAATTCGACACATTGGGCAATCATAATAACCCCTCCATCGGTAGAAGGATTTACGGTATTAAAACTAGACACTGGTCACGTCTCTTTAATTTCTCTGTACGTGATCCGTGTGGACATATTGCTATTCAACTTAGCACAGAACACTTCTCAATCAGTCAGTAAATCGATCGATTCAAGTAATTGTGAACTTACGTATCCATGCGTGTCCGAGATGTTGTTGGTCAGCTTCAGCTTGTGGAAGGACACGACCTTCTGCATCCACTGTTCTCCAGTACTAGGAGAGTCTGGATGTATGTACATCCTTTTGGGCATCTCGGGGTCAGCTTTTCCGGCCACCATCCACCGACTGTTATGAAATTTGTATCTACAATCATCGGCTGCTACTATGTCCATTAGGAAAATGTACTTGGCCTTCTTGTCCAGTCCTGATACTCGGACCTTGTATCCGGGAAACATTCGCCTGAGAAGAAGAAGAAGAACCGTTTATAGTCAACAATCGAGATTAAAGAAACAAAAGTAAATTAACTGGTATAGAAACTACAGTCAAGGAACTTGTATAGAAACAACAGGCAAGGAAGTGGTATAGAAACTACAGTCAAGGAACTGGTATAGAAACTACAGTCAAGGAACTTGTATAGAAACAACAGTCAAGGAACTGGTATAGAAACTATAGTCAAGGAAGTGGTATAGAAACTATAGTCAAGGAACTGGTATAGAAACTACAATTCAAGGAACTGGTATAGAAACTAGAACCAAGAAACTGGTATAGAAACTACAGTCAAGGAACTGGTATAGAAACTACAGTCAAGTACCTTGTATAGAAACAACAGTCAAGGAACTGGTATAGAAACTACAGTCAAAGAACTGGTATAGAAACTACATCCAAGAAACTGGTATAGAAAATACAGTCAAAGAACTGGTATAGAAATTACAGTCAAGGAACTGGTATAGAAACTACAGTCAAGAACTGGTATAGAAACTATAGTCAAGGAATTGGTATAGAAACTACAGTCAAGGAACTGGTATAGAAACTAAAGTCAATGAAGTGTTAGCGGAACTACAACCTAGATCTTGTCAAGAAATTAGAACCAATGACCTGGTATAGAAACTACAACCAAGGAACTGGTATAGAAACTTAAGAAAATTAACTGGCATAGAAACTACTGTAAATGAGTTGGT